TATATATATATATATATATATATATAAAAATAGACATGTGTGTCCCTATATTTCACTTTTCAGCCAAAACTACACATCGCACATGAATGGTACTATGGTGGTTGTGTCTCAATAGCTATAAGGGTGCGGGGGATATGGGGGCTTAAAGTGGTTGATATCAAAGATTTTCTATTTTGATTTTAAAAATGTTCGAACCGTTTTAAATTCAAATTGGTATTCAAATTCAAATTGGTTTGATTATAGACGTTCCAGAAAATTGATCAAATTGAAAATAGTTCGTTTGACTGGATGTAAAAATTCTCTAATTAGTCTGGAAACGGGAGACCTAATTCTTGCATTCTGTGAAAACGGGTAAGATTGGCTATAATGTAATTATCTTAATCTTCACTATCGTTACTTTTTGCCCAACGAAGTGGGTCCTTGCAGCTAGATTTTAGATTACTTAGAAAAACAGTCTTTTATATATTACATACAAATAAAAACCCAGCGAAGTGGGTCCTTGCAGCTAGTATAAATATAATTTTTATGGACGTTAAATAATAAATGGTTTTTAGTAGGTCTGCTGCTCATTTAAACTCAACGGTTTGTACAATATTCGCTATTAGTCTAGATTCAACCAATCCTGTCGCAACATAAGTCGGCGATGACATTTTACCAAATTATATGAGTTTTTTTAGCGTGTTTGAACGAATACTATCACAATTTTTTTGCTGTGATATAGGAATCCGAACTATAGGAGCCCGTGTTATAGGGGGGTCGACTGTATAAGTTTTTTTTAAGAAAATAGAAGATGGTGCCATCAAATGTTGCCAGGAAAGTTAAGCAACTTGTTGCTGAATGTTTTTAATTTATGTTTTAAACAGATTAAATCAAAAATCATTATTGGATATTTATCAGAAATGCTCAATGATATAATACAAATTTTACAATCTCACAAAAAATTCTAAAGCCTGCATTATATTTATAAATAGTAGCTATTGGTTTTCTCTTATAGTTATGCATAGTTTTGAATCTCTCACATTCTTGTAAATGTGATGTAGGGACAGTTCATAGCTTAGAACTACCTGATTACCCTCTGTTTTGTTAATCCGTAGTTGTTACTATTAAATGCTTTTAACACTTTCCCTATATCCAATTTAGTTCTCCATATAATCAAAATATCATCCATGTAACAAGTATAACCAAGGATAGTGTGTTTGAAGTTTACTAAAGACTGTTCTTCCAACTGTTGTAAGACAAGTTCACAAAGATCTCCTGAAATGGGGCTACTCATCGGCACCCTCTGTTTTTGTATGTATGTGTGTTCATCAAAGTAAAACAAGAACAAATAGCACAGTAGGTGCGCAAGCTCTAATATCGGGGAATGCAAAGTCTGAGCATTAAGGGTAGTGCTGAGAAAGAAATCTCTTAAAGCACAAAAACATGATTCTAAATGAATGGAGGGAACAAGGATATGAAATTGAACAATGCAAGATGTTCGTTCCCATTTAAATTAATATTTGAAAGTTTGGAGAGAAGTGTGCATGAATCGAAGACTGTATATGCATTAATGTGGCAGTTTAATGAGTGATGAATCCATTCTTCTAATAAAAATGTTAGAGATCTTTATTGGTCACAGGTCGTAATTGTTGTCCAGGTTTGTTGACAGGTCATAATTGTTGACCATCAGCTAAGAAAAATGTCAAAACAAGCTTAGAGAAAAATAAAATTTGAACCTCAGATATCTCAAACAATGTCAGTTGATGATGCTTTCAAAGTTTTCAGTCCACTATAATACTTTTAAAGAACAATAAATAATTTTGATAACATTCCAGCAAAAGGAAAGAAGTTTTTCTACTACTTTTTGAAAACTAGCATTATTGAACTACAGGAAAATTTAAGTTTCTTTGTCTATAAGGATAAAATCACTTTTTAAACTTAAAAAATTTTTATTGTAATTGAAAAATTCTTGGATAAATGGAATATGTATAAAATTATTCTCTTTTTCCAAAGAGAATAATTATAAATATTATCTATCTATCACTGTTATTTACAAAAATTAATCTTCATATCTAACTATACTATTGTGAATATCATAATCTAGTTTATAAATTGCCTATATCTGGGATGGGCAATCTTTTTCTATGTAAGGGCTGCATTTCAAAACTTTTGAACTAATGCGAGCCATATACAAGAGAAAGAAAATGCCGGTAAATCACAATTATTTATTCATTTATAATTATAAATTAGCATAGTTATACTTAATTTAGCTTCTAGAACTGATGTAAATGTAATACAGTAATACCCGAACTTACACCATAGGTGGGACCAAGAGATAACCGCGTAAGTCGGGGTATAATTTCGCAATTTGTCTAAAATCCAAGTCGGATGTATGTAAGCTAATAAATGTTTTCGTTAATCTTATCTCGTCTTTTGATTTGTTCACGGTTACAAGAAATCACCACATAGAGTCTCTCGAGTCTCCGTAGATATAACAAACACAGAAATAAATAACACAAAAGAAATTGTAGCTATGTGTCGATTCCGTGCGACACGTCCAAACATGTAAGCTGAATAATAGTGTAGGGGGAGTGAGTAATCAAGAGTTGCGTAGCACTCAAACAAAAGACGAATGGACGAGATTTGAAAATCGCGTAAGTCGGGGTAGCGTAAGTCGAGGTATTACTGTATATCAGATATATTTGATTAAATATTAGTCACTGCTAGTTTTAAATTAGTTTTCAATGTGTCTGTTAGTCAGTTTCTTGTTTTAATTTTTACTAAATTCATTGTGGAAAAATTATTCACATACATAAAGTTGTAGAAAATAATGTTTGAATTTTTGCTGCATACTTCCTTAAGCTAGGAAACTGATACATTTGTTCATATTTTATGTGATGTGGGCTGCAAAAAATATTAATTCGGGCTGCGGGTTGTCCATCCCTGGCATATATTAAAATTATTTTATCAATTACTACACATTTTTCATCAATCAATATAATGTCTGATCTGTTATATCAATTTTAGATTCACCTTCTGACTATATTAAAATTAAATAGCCTTGAATAAAACTGTCTCAAAAAATTAAAATAAATTTTAAAAATGTTTACTAACATTATTCAGTTCCATTAAATTATAAATAACAATTTTAATATAATGGATGTATTACTCATTAACAGCCACATCTATACTAATATATCAATAGGATCTGCTTCATATGTAGAGAGACTGTAATTTCATTTTCTCCTTTTGTTAACTGGAGAATTGCTCATGATGTTCTGAAAATTTCTTTACCCCAATATTAGGTATTTCTTCTACAACCTTATTTAACACTTAAAAGGGATCTGGTTGGCATTAAAAAGCTATTCAGATTAATTTTTGACAAATGATAATTAGTTATTTAGGTACATTTGTATTTACTGTGTCCAAGCAAGATGTTCAAGCCAAAACATTGCCTCATACATTTTCTCATTAGGTGTAAATGATGTAATGTGACTATTATCAACAATTATATCAATCATAACATGTTTTCTACAATGTTTATGTTGAAACTTGTATGGTAATTCAACCACAAATCTTTATTTCATTTTAGAAAACAAATATCTATAATCAAATGGTAATTTTGTTTATAACAATTATTATCAATAAAATATAGCATCAATGTTTTTCATACTAAGTCTAATTTGCTAACCTTCAAAAATAAACTATGTAAACAAATTTCTCAGATGAACAATAAGAGGATCTAAGTTCTTTCAATATATAAAGTTTTTTAATAAGAGTGCAGAACATAAATAAAATAACATGTAATAAATTAATGGAATTATGTTAACTTGTCAAAAATATGTGTTTATTTCAATTTTGAATTTTAAATAATTCAAATTCGTTTGATAATAATTATGCACTATGCTTTCAAAATTTTATATTATTTGATGAACCTAAAGATAATCCTTTAAACGTATTGTAAGTACTTGTTCACAGAAAACAAATGCTGAAAATTAAAGGTAAATTTTTATAATAATATATAATGCTAAAAGTTCATAATTTCTGAATTTTTATCACCAAAAACTTTAAATTAAAATAAATTTGTAATATATCATACTAAAATTCAAAATTACATTTATTTAATGAAATATAATTCTGTAATTATTCTTTCCAACAAATTATGTAAAATTTACCTGAATCCGTGCTCGTATAACATCTAAAGGATTTGTTATAAATGTCACTGTAATGCCACTCATAGAACCTGATATGCAGTGAATTAACATATGAGATGTCCAAAGAGGAAGGACAGATGCTAAGGTTTCTGAAAAATGAGAAATTATTTATTTGTAAAATTCAAATAAACATATTTAGAGTCTTATAAAGTCTTTACAAAAGATAAGAAAATTATATTTATTAAAATTAGAAACTTATCATCAGTATATAATTATATATATACAAACACACACTATATCAGTATTATATAACCTACAATATGATATTAAATTTTATAAAGGTGGTTTAGATTCTGACGATAAAAACACATTATGTGTTATCTTAAAATTTTATAATTACAATTTAATCTGTGTTTATAAATTAGTTAAGACTGAAGTATTATTTCTACATAAAATTAGTCAACTTTATAATAGTCACCATATGATCACTATAACATATAAATCTATTTTATTACGTTCACAGAAAAGTCTAAAAATTAAATATTGATAAAAAACTAAACTGATTTAGTTTGAGTTTCTTCATTTTGTTATTGATTTTCTATTCTATCATTGCTTATATCATCATGTAATTAATCCTAGATCACAAAGCATAAATCATTAGTACAGGAACACAAAGCTTTGTAAATTTTATGACTGTTTATTTTATTAATTAGTTTTATGTCAGAATACTGACTGACAGGAATATAACAAATATATGATGAATCAAAACTATTGTATTGAAAAATTGATTTAGACAATTTTAGACATTGAATTATTATAAGATGGATTTGCAGCAATTATATCACAAAGCTTTGTAAAATTGACGATGACAGTTTCAATTAGTCCACAAACAAAAACAATTCCAAGATTCTGCACCTGTTACAACAATCCTGGCAACAGTGTAGAAAGATACTAAAAACAACAGCAAGACATTGCAAAACAACAAGGAGAAAAATAAGAATCATAAAAATGAAGAAGCTTTGTGTTCTAGGAATAAATTGAATTAGTAAAATTTTACACTTTAAATCATATTTAAGTCATGATCAGCATATCCAAATAGAATTCTTAAATTCAGTTAATACAACTTAAATACAAACTGAATTTAATAGTTCTGACATAACTAGGACAATGCATGACTTTGTTGTATCATGATATAAATGAGGAAGGGACAGAAAGAAAGAAGTGATCCTTGTACCTGATAGTAACAGACAAGAGGACTTTGCACTTGTTGCCATGAAAGAGGCTATCTTTGTACCTGCCAGACACAGGAGATGCTTGCAATGGCCAGGCATAGAGACAATTCTTGCACTTTATGACATGGAGAGACAATCCAAGAACAAAGCAATTGATGCCAATGCTGACCAGTGGCTAAGTGAATAAAACTACTGAACACTGGTAATTGTTGTGAGTTTGCAACTGACCAATGGGCTGACCATGTGGAGTTTTCCAGGTTTTCTTCATGTTAGTAACACCTAAATATGGGCCAGTTTCCTGTAAAAGATCTCCCAAGAGGCATTCCCTCTTTGCAGATTGCTCATGCCTCGTATTGCTGTATACAAATAAACCCAAAACTAAAAGCAATCAATGCCAATTGCTTTGTTCTTGTATTCTGTTCAGTTTTTGCATTTATTTTCTGTTAGGTGCACACAATGCTGTTTTTTTATATTTGACCATTAAATTTCATTAGGCATACTCAAGGAGCACTTTGACCCTACTTAATATTGAAAATGAAATGATAGACTCTTATTTCCTATACTTACATTTTATTACATTTTTGAATTTTTCATCACAATGAATATAAAATAGTAAAATTTTGTCAAAATCAGCCCATCAAATTTGGAGAACGAACTCAATTCTATAAGTCAAATAGAAGACACATTCCAAAAATGAAGTCACTGACCTCCATTTTTTATTTTATTTTCGGATTCTTCATAGTAATAGAAAATAACAAAGTTTTATCAAAATTGATCAAACAGATTTCAAGAACGAATGCAAATGTTCTGCATCAATCAAATCTATACTTATTTAAATTTCTTTTTTTTAAATATAAATATTGTTAAATTCTAGTGAACTTTTAACATTATAATTGTGAATATTGTAATCTACTGAATTTGTACGAAATATTCATTTCTTCGTACAGATGTTGAATAATTAATATGAACAATGTTGAAAATGTTAATACTTTTTTAATTTACATATTATTTTAATCTGAAAACTTAAAATTAGTCTCAAGTAGTATTGAACATCACACTTTTATTTCATATTATTATTATTATATATATCATATATTGGAAGAATCATTAATATTTCCAAAAGAAAAATTTAGTTATTAATTTTATAGACAGGCAAACCATTTTTGTATAAGTAATAATTATTGATTATTCATAAAATATTGACTAGATCTATACATTGATAATTCTCTTTATATCTAACATAGAATATTAGCCAAAGTTATAAAGCCAAATTCTTCACAGGCTATAACTGTTAATTATTAACAATTCAATTATCTACCTTCAGTTAAGCAGCAATAGCTATCTCAGTCATGTGAAATTGATGATTGAATAGCTAGTCAATGAAAATTTATAAATTTACACAAATCCTTTAATTGCAGATATTTCCATCAATCAGAAAAATAGTTTACTTGATATAGAAATTAAAAATAAAATCTCTAACATCTAAAACAAATCATAATAATTGAAATTTTATTATTTATCCACAAAATAGTTTAAATTACATTTTTTCTGAAAGGAAAAGGGAATCATCTGAAAATTTACTGTTCTAATTTGTGATAGAACATTTCCCAAGTGATTAGAAAAGACCTGTTACTGTTTACTTTTAAAGTTGTTAATAGTAAAACATATTATACATATAAAGGATGTCTCAAAAATATACAGCATAACCTTAGAAATGAGTTCCCCATATGTAGACAACAAAAGTAGTTTATAACAACCCAGGTCTGGAAACGCTTGGTTTCAGAGCTTTGAAGGTCTGTCCTTGGTACAATTCTCGAAACTATGATATTGAGCATGTACAAAGTGAAGGGTGACATCACACAAAGAGTAAACAAACGTTTCTTATAATATAAGGTAGTTTACTTGTAAGTTTTCACGAATATAATAATGTATTATGTTATTCAATTTTAACACTTCTCTTACTTAAGTAACACTTTGAAATCATGTTTAAGATATGTGAATGCTTTAAGTTTGTATCTATAATTCTACATTATCAAACTTTATTTCATTTTGTTCTTACATTTTTGCACTTTCATGAGGTTTTTTTATATCTTGTAAAAGATATTCATATAATTTTTATAAAATAATCTTTATTTAATAATGAAAAAAACAATGTTTAATTCAAATTTGACAGTTGAATGTAAGAACAAAATGAAATCACTATTCTTTAGGTTAAGGATGTATTTCAGAATACAATCACTCAATAATTTACTACAAGAATGAGGGAAAAACATAAATGAAACTAAAATGCCCTCTTATTTTGTCATGTCTAATCATTAGGAACAAACAGCATTCCATTCCAGGAATGATCTTTTATTTGTGGCTATGCCTCTTCAAAATTATGAAAAGCAGTTTTAAAAGTTCACAATAAAACAAAAAAAGTTTAAATTATTTTTTAAATTAAAAAAATTAGAAAAAGTATTACATAAAATATAATTGTTTAAGTTACTATATTTTCTGTAAAACATTCAAAAATCAATTTTTAAATGTTCTCTAAATATTTGTTAATGTGACATAACCATTAATAATTTTACAAAATGAATTATTTTAAAAGTTTGTTAATATTTAAAGATCCATTAAAAAATTACTGAATAAGAAATACATGTTATGTTATTATTCACAGATATTTTAATAGTTAACAAAATGAATGATTCTTATTTTTTTTAATTTGGAAGTGTCTTAGTATTTTTTTTTATAAACAGCTGTATTTAGTTAGCATCTACATAATATTTTTCAAGTTAATCTAAACTTGAAAAATATTCTTAATTTTTTTAATAATTTTATAGTTCTAAAAAATCTTGATTTTTTATAACTAGATATTTGAAAAATTGCTTTTTGTTCTATTAAAATCTATATTAAATGCTAACTTAAAAATTGATCAAGCAATAAAAATAAATGAAAAATATCAATATATTAAAATGTGGGTTTTTTAATAATAATCTCCATTTATTACATTTATTTTTATGTTTAGTAATAACATAAATGGAATTTGTTTGACAGCAACTCTCTTAATGACAATGCTGGGCAAACTCGACCTGTTGTAAGTAGCATGAGTATCATATAGAGAAAAGCTTTATGTCACAAAACTGTTCACATCACCTTACGTAAGAGGAACTCATTCTTGTATTTATGCTGTGCATTTTTGAGACACCCTGTATATATATATATATGAAAGTACTGTAATAAATTAACAATTTACATACCTGAATAAAGTGGGTAGAACATCCACCATAATCCACTACTTGGAACGTATGCACACAATGAAGCAAAGTAACCTCGGTAGAAACCTTTTACACCTTCTAGCCTATATAATTCCTTTGTTATTGTTAAAGCTAATTTTTTTCTATTTCCATTTTCATACTTAATGTTCAATGGATTTGAATGTTGACATTCAAACTTTCCTTGACTTGTAGTTTGACCTAATACCATCATGTGTTGGGATATAACATCAAATGGAGTAATTATTGTTTGTCCAACTAAAGAACCACATCCTCCTCCAATAAAACCTTTAATTCTTCCATCATTGATGCCAGCATATTTAGAAAGTAGATGACGAACTTTCTCGTAAGTTGTGATATAACCAAATCCAGATATGATCTGAATTGTATTTATCCAAAATCCTTTATATAAACCAGATAATCCTTCGTAACGAAGAATTTTTAAAAATGCATCTAAAGTACCAGTATATATAGCATTTCTTTTCTGAATTTGTAAGCGCGTTTTGATCACTGTGAAGGGATACAGAACACCTCTTAATGTAAAAGAATTTAACATACTGAGACTAAAAAACCTGCTCTTGTCCATCATTTCCCACTCAATTGTAATAATACGCTGTGGTTCCATATTTTTTTTCAAATAAACTCCAAATGCCATTACATAAAGTTAAATACAAACAAGATATTGAAATACTGGCTGAATGTTTCTTTTGTCATTCAATAATTTTTCACATATATTATTCAACATTTCAACATCATTTTCGTTTAACTGGAAAATAAAATAATATTTTAAATAAACAGAATATAAAACAGATTCTGATATAAAAAGTATATACTGTAAGTCTAGTTTAACAAATTTTGAGATTTCTGAAATTAAGTTGATGTTTACTTCTTTTAATGAATAGGAATTATTCATGAATATTAATAAATATATTAAGTTATTCTAAACTTGTTATCTATACAAATATTTATACTTTATTATAAATATATATAATTATAATAAATGTTAGATGACATAGTTTAATATGTAATCATGTATAATAGGATTATTTTAATCATAGATCAAATCTGATGACCTAAATTTTTACTTTTTCATTTTGCTTTGAATATTCTTGTCTTACAAAGAAGAAAAAACATTAATACGTAAATTTTAAAATGAATTCTTGTATTAAAAAAATAATTAAGTATCAATACTAGTTAAGATATACCCTAGTTAGTATTAACATTTATTTTACAACTGGAATAGGAAAGTGAAAAATAATTTAACACAACTTTAATAAGCATTATTAACATAATACTTAATGTACAAATTTTATAAATTAAAAGATACTTTTTAAGAAATGAATTAAAGCAATAATTGTTATTAGTAATATTATTATTGTCAGATACAATAAATTACTCATTTTTATTGCGTTGAAAATGTGATTTTAAAATTAAAATAACTAAATAAAAGATATTAGAATAAATAATAAATAAACAGAGTAATCAAACATCACTAGATATTTTTATGCAGCTCTATGACCCTGTACACACTAGGCGTTTTTCAACGCGCGTTTAAAAGAACCAAGAGTTCTATGTAGCCGTACACACTCAAAAGCCAAGCGCGCGTTAAACGCGCGTTTTGCGAGCGCTTTACGGGCGCTTTGAGATATATGTGCTGCCATGTTACCGTACATGCGATCGCGCGTTTTGCGGGCGTCAGCCGAGCGCTTTGAGATATATGTGCTGAAATGGAGAACGATCATTTCGATACTGATCTATTTATTGATGAAATCTAAAAGAGACCAACCATCGTCAAAGGATTTTATAGATATTTTAAAAGAATTAAAAAACTTGAATTTATTTTGTCTTAGTTTTGGATACAACGTCGCAAACATTTCATGCGTCAGTCTATCTCGTAATATTGGGTGCACCCAAAATTCTCTTTGCCTCCGCCGTCGTCTTTTATAGCGACGATAGAGGAGCCACACACAAGCAATCACTTCCACATCCATTTCCAAACCGAGCCAGTGCACACGCTCCGCTAATCGCTCGTTGAAAAACGCCTAGTGTGTACAGGGCCTATATGTATTAACAATTAATCAGTACACAAGAAATCTGGTATTGTATATATCAGATATGGGCAAATGCCGCTCTTTTTGAGTTACATGTGGCTCTTGCTGAAAATGTTAATTTCTGCTTTTTATTATTATTATTTTTACAATTTTATTTCCACACTTTTGTGAAAATGCATTTATTAAAAAATTCTATATTTGTTTTTATATTATATAATAAAATCGCAATACAGAATAAAAAAATACAGAACTGCAGCTCCCATGCATTTTGCAAAACCTATATTTCGGCTCCCACTGAATTCTTGTTTGCCCACCCTTGGTATATATAGAGATATATGAAATAGAAATGGTATATATAAGGCCTAGGTCTAGTAGTAGTTCTTGAACAATTGAATTATAAATAGAACAAAAACTATCAAACTATCACGTGAATTATATAAAATGAAGAGAACAGGCAGAATTCGGCCAATTATTATTTACCCAGTCAAAAACACAGTAAGACTGCTGTAACAAATGAGAGCCATATCTTTCAAAGCATTACACATGGATCCATTGTTCTCTTGACTTTGTATCTTTAGATGTAATATTGACAGCTTGAAAGTGTCCATGTTCAGATCAAATGCTGATCTGAACGTAGACACTTTCATCCTGTCAATCAGTAACATAAAATGATATTGCTTATAACAGATATAAGCAATTTAATCTATATTTAGCCATGTAAAAGAGGTAATAAACTGATCGTCATACCTTTAAGGGTAATTATATCTTTAAGTTTAACTGAAGAATAAGAGAGAAATTGATAAATATAAAATTTGAGATAACAATTTTAATATATTAAATAAAACTCGTTTTGATAATTAAATAAAATTACTACCAATATCTATCGTCAATAAATCATAATACTAACGATGAATATATAATATAAGATGGTTTTTCATTCAACACTTTACACGTATACTACGTAAGTGACTCACAAAAAGTTACCGGCAAACTTGCAATTACATCACGAATTACATCCACTACTCGTCGCCATTTTTGCGTACAGCGCCATCTGGAAAAAGATGAAATAATTGGGAGGTAAAATAAATATTTGTATTTAATAAAAATTATTTAAAACCGTAGTTTACTCACTGTTGTACATGTTTTTGACTTTAAAATATAATTATATTATTTTTGAAATAAATATATTAAAAAAAAATCGTAAACTACATTTTTGTTACAGTTTTGAACTTATAACAGTTATAAGTTAACAGTTATAAGTTATAAGTTAACAGTTATAAGTTAACAGTTATAACATCATATGTTCAATATTGTACAGTACATTCTGGGAAACCTAGTTACACTGCAATTGTAATAAATTGTATCAATTCCATAACAAAAGTAAAAATTCACTAATAGCCGCCGACACGCAATACTATCAATCGAAAAATAAAGCTGGGCCGGTTGACCGAAGCGATAAGCGGTCATCCAATCGTTCTGGGAAACCCATAATTACATTCAGGCAAGGAACTCCCCAAAAATGTTTCATAGCTAATCAGTCCCAAATACTTCTATGTCGGGCTCAACATACAGTATTTAATCCCTATTGTGGGCTGCCACACTCACAACGAATACGGAAAACAAAGCGATCTTAGTGCTCATAGTACGGAAAAGTTAAAAATACGAAAAGTAAAAACTATTTAAACATTTAAAATTTATAGCTACATAAAAAAGTTTAAATAAATCTTTGAAATTAAATTTGTTGTTAAAAGTTTTTCTGATAGCATTATTGCTAACTGTTTTATCTTGTGGAGAATTAATTTCAACTTTTTAGACTATCTTTTATTGCTTGTCACTATATAATCACTTTGAGAGTATTATTTTAGTAAAAATTTCTATAACTTCGGTAAGGATACGGCAGAATCGTTATTTTAAATTATTGTAAAATAAAGTAATTTGTAAATTATCTAGACTCCATTTATTTTCTGATTAACGAGAATAAACTGAGAGGAGACATCAGTAGGAAACATTCAAACCCAGATTTGTAAATGCTTACACATTAATATAATTTATCTAATATACTCAAATATAAATTTAAAAATAATTTTAAAATTAATTTAATTTAAAATTAAAATTAAAAAAAATTAAATTTAAAAATTCCGTTCTATTTTCGTAATACGAAATATTCGAAAATTTATGAAAGTTCGAATTTTTAAAAATGAAGTCTTTAATGCTAGGATTGGTGATCATTTTTCAATTTTCTAAAACGGCACAAACTATTTTCGAGCATCCCAAAATAGATTTTACGCCGAATTATGACTTTATAGATATAAAAATAAACAAAGAGAAAAATGAAACGGAAGATCTTCGATGGAGAAATTTAGCATTTGTAGAATTCGATAGCCAAGGAAGGAATTTCCAGATTTTATTAGAAGAAGATAACTCGATAATATCTCCTAGCGCTAGAATTTACCTTCGTGGTAAGAAAACTCACATAGTGAATTTGAAACATTTATCCGGATCTGCTTTATATCGAGGAATCGTTAAAGATGAACTTTCTATGGTTAACGGATTTTTCCATAAAAATCAATTTGTTGGAAGAATAGTTTTAAAGGAAGACGTTTATTATCTAGAAATGGCTTCCACCCATCTGAAAGACGATAGATATAAGGAGAAGATTGTCATATACAAGGAGAAGAATCTGTTATCAGCAGCACTTCATTTAGAAAATAATGAAGAAAATGGAAATGAAATAAGTGAAGATTTCGGTACTTCTGATGGAATTCTGAATTCGTTTCGTTTCAATAGGAGTTTTAATGTCGCAAGGAAAAATTCAAGACCCAAAAAGTAAGTGATTACACTTTATATTTAAAATAATATAGCCTAATAACAATTAACTTTAACTTTAGTTAGGTGAAACTGGAAAATTATATGATAAAACGCAAAGATATTAATTGTATATTGAAATCTATAAGCAATGGAACGAAAGAAATGACGTACTAGTGGAACGTAGCCCAACCGCCATATTTAATTTCCTTGATACCATGAACATCTGGAAATGGGGAAGTTTCCTCTCTCTTAGATAGAGTAAAAAGTTCAATAAATTATAATCGTAAAAGTGATTGAGAAATGTGACCTTAGTTACATAGGATGCTTTATCTATTTAAAATTTTTTGTCTGTCTTTAAAAAATCTCCAAAATTTAAGTGAAAATTTATTGTAATTATTTGTCTTCAAGCTTTGTCCACGGAAAATTTTTTGCAGCCGTTCATGCTTGATACCATTCTATCCGTTTGTACTATAGGTTAAGTAACTCGACATTGAAAAATTTCTCATTGTAGCATGAGATAAGATAAAATAGGTAAACAAATAGGCATACTAAACAGGAGCTATAAATATAAACATTAAATGGGATTAAACATGGTAGCGCTTCTTTGAATGTGTTATGTATAATATACAAAAATATTAATTTTTGACTCTTCCCGTCCTATGAAAAACAAGAGGATCTTTCTTCCACATTCACCATGAGTTCAAGCTAAGCAAACAATGGGCAATGCCCATAAAAAATTCCTAGGGTTGCTTGCCCGAAATTTATCCCTGATTCTCTGGAGCATTACCTTCTTCATCACCTCGATCACCCGGCGAGTTATATATATTAGTATCAACTTGCTGATTAAATATCATTACAAAACTAACAGCTTAAGTCATTAATTAGTCTTTAAAAAAATATAATATTAAACACAGAAAAGGTATGGTATGAACATAATTTGATATATTGACGTACAGTAGAACCCCTCTAATCCGTCACCTTTGGGACTGGGGGTATGGTCGGAACGCAAAAAAGGTCGGATTATCAGAAAAAAGTAAAATAAACAATCTTCCCCTTTGTCCAGTCTTTGTAGCACTGCTAATTTTTGATTTAATGAAAGAGTAACGTGTTTACGTTTCACTCCTGACATGTTGAAAACACACACAAAACTATACATGTACACACAATGTAAAACATATACTGTAACGAACACAGAAAAACGCCACGGACGGTGAGTCACCGACGAGTCGGGACAAGTTTCTCGACTCCGACCACGGTCGGGTTAGGGCTCTTTCACACTATGACCGACTCGACCGACTGGTCCGACCAGACTACAAATATTTAACTTTTCAAATCTGTCCGACTGGAACGACTAGTCGGTCGGTAGACTACTGTTGCCATGACAACACGACTTGGAGTTGGGCCAGTCGGTCCAGTCGGTCATAGTGTGAAACAGCCCTTAACCGAAGTGACGGATTAGCCGAGGGCGGACTAGAGGGGTTCTACTGTATATATTTTTGTATTAATTTAGTAAAAATGCGCATTTAAGTTTGTTTCTGGTAGAATTTCTACGATATTTTGAAATTATTTAAATATATTTTTATTATTAACTTCTATATTTATGTAATAAAATGATATCTCCACAACTGTAGTATAATTCGATATTTCATTTATATAAAAATATTATCGAAACTTTCTCTAAAAATAATTCAATTAAGTCAAAATTTGCATACAAATTGTCTATTATATTGATTAGAAGATGAATTAAAATAACTTAACAGAAGTGCATACTTAGTTTTTTGGGAATTTAGAACTTAAATTATGCCATTAAATACTATAGATGTCTCCCATTGTGGACGTCTGATATTTTGATCATGTATTGAAAAATTTTTATATAAAGAGAATTTCATAGAAAATACTAATTAATTTAAGTATCCTATTTGAAATGCTTTATGTAGGAAAAAATTAAATTGCGAAATAGAACTGATAGCAGACGATTCTTTTGTGAAATTCCTGAAAGGAGATAGAGCAAACATTGTAGCCGAAATGCTTTATCACGTAAAAGTTGCCGACGAAATCTTTGGAAAAACGAATTTCGACGATGATTCAATTGCCGAAAAAATCGGATTTCGTGTAGAAAAAATAACCATTTTGGAAAATAAAAACGAGTTAAATTTTCCTTTCAACTCTGGTTTGGATCCGGCCGAGTATTTGAATGAATTCTCCAGAAAAGTCAAACAGAATTGGTGCTTGGTAATAATCTTCTCTCACAAAGACTTTAAACAGTTATGTGCACCATCTTTCTATGGTAAGATACTTTCTCTCTCTCTCTCATTTTAAAAATATTTTTCAATTTGTTGTAATTATATTTTGTAATTTTCAAGAAAAGGTACGTATTTTTTAGAGTTTCTCCTTTCTTTCTCAGTGTTAGCTCACGTTGAAATCCCCACTTGAAAAAATAAAATAATGATAATAATAATAATAAAACACAATTGTATCTGATCTAAAAATTGATTATTCTGATTTTCTTTTTTAAAAAATACGTGGATTTATTTGAACGCTGATCTAACACGGTAAGAAATTGATATTGGAAAAATAATTTGATTACTTCTTGTTAGGCAATATTTTAGTGTTGAATTATCCTGTTGTTTTCATAAAATTGGAAATATTTTGATTAACAAATTTATTCACTGAAATAGTTTATCATAATACACTTGAGTAATATTTTATCATTACTCTCTGTAACGATAATTATATCAAAAAAAGTAAAAATCAAATAAAATTAATTTTAATCTAGTACTTTTAATAATAAAAACAAAACTGCCTTTATTCGTCATATTTTTCTAGAGTGTGAGATAGAGGTGGCCTCCATCCTACCATATACAACACTATAGTGTGATTTGCGCACTCACACACACGATTTTATTCTTTGATTATGTTTATCAGTTTTCCCCGCGATCTTTCCCATAAAGGGAAGGATCCTGGGATGACCATCCGTGAAATGCATTGTCATCAGATTTAGGCACATCATCAGTTTCAGAATTGGATGAAATCTACGTCATCCACCTAAAATCAGATGAAATTTGAGTTGTAAGATTTGCCATACAAAACAAGTTAAATAAAAATGTTTAATAAGTAAATATAAATGTAAATCGAAATTAATTTATTTGAAGCTGATCATAGAATTGATAGTAACGGCAATATAAGGCAACGCAAACATAGAAGATTTGCCAGGGGAGAACCTAAATAAGGGCCAGTTTTCTGGGAATCTTCCAGGGAGGATTACCGGAAAACTTGCCCTTATTTAGGTTTTAGATAGACGAAAAAAATCCTGAAAAAATTCATATAGTTAGCGTGTTGGTAGCGCGCGGATCCACGACCAGTGTTCAATGATTTTATCTATTCGTCCACTGATGAGCAGAAACTGACAGGGCCGGCCCAGGAGTTTTTGGCATCATAGCCAGCATCAGACACTAATTATGGCGCCCCAAAATTCTTGTCCTAGGCGACTGCCTAGTGCGCCGATAGCTTGGGCCTTCCCTGGAAACTGTCATGAAAAATTTTAGTTTCGATCCCTTCTACTGCTTTATTTATTCGGAGGGATTCTGGAGAAGTTTTTCGAAACAATGTATTTGGAAAATATATTCTATTTTTTTCTAATTTGAAATTATAAATTCATCCTAGAAGAACAAAAATCTCTTTGTTATCAAAGTTTTGTTAATTTAGTTAATTTATAAGTGCCGTTTCTAATCACAAACTTAAAGCTAATTAACGTGTTTTTTGTGTAGGAGGATTTTGCGAAAACTCTAATAATACAGGGAAGTATAGCAAAAACATAGTGTTTGTCACTAATAAAATGAAGGATGTGATTTCCAGAGCTATGTTTAGTACAATGTTAATTCACGGAATAGGACACGCTTTCGGATCGGATCATGACAACCAAAGTGATTGGCGATGCCTTCCCGGCAATGAGTCCGAATTAGAAAATTACTTAATGCATCCGCTGATGGGAAATGCTGCGAAAGTTAACTGGAAATTTTCTCCTTGCAGCAAATCTGCTATTCAACTTGCTATTAAAAAGAAACAAGGTATTTTCTAATGTTTATTTCTACTGCTAATAATCATGAATATGATATATCACACTGTATCATCAATAGAAAATAATATACTCTTAAGTTCGAGTATTAAATTTAATTTAGGTTTGCATTTAATTTTGTATAAATTTTTAAAATCGTTAATTTCACAAATAAAATTTCGCTTTTAAATTTTCTAAAGTTTAAGTATTAAACGTTTAATTAATAACTTAATTTAATTACGTTCATGAAATGTTAGTATCGTTTACTCCAGTCACTTTTCTTTCGTTTTATTCTTACCACTTACAGTAAATCACACTTAAAGTAAGATAAGTAAACAGCAATATTGTATGCGTAGTGTGTAAATGAAGCTGTAAACTCAAATTTCAAACATTTTAATAACGTTTACTAACTTGTAATGATGTATGCAAAACGAAAGATACTGTATCCAATTTAAGCGATATAGTATTTATTATTATAAATAACTCCTGTAGAGAAAAACTAATTTAATATGAATATGAGAACCGAGGGGGTTAGTTGTCCCCACTTACCGGTGGCTCTGCCAGAGGATGGCTTTATAGTTAGGGCAAAATGAAATGAGTGGGGAGGTTAATGGGTAAGTTGACAGGTTCCCAAATAAATACACAGGTTGAACAAGAATAACACATTTAATAAACAACTATAAAGTTGTAGTTAAAGTCAGCCCTGGAGGTGTCCGCCTTGTGGACTCTGTCCAAGCCCTCTTTATACTATTTTTTGAGTGGGTGAGAACTATGACATCATTACTGATTTATACGCACACCTGTTCGTGTGTTGATGTCTGGATCTAGCTAGTACGGACCACTGGCACAGAGAAGTTTATTTAATTTATTGATATCAGTGTCTAGAAGATATGATTTTATAATATAAATTTCTATAGGTTTGACGGCTCTCATCCATAAATTAACATTCTTCTGACAATAATTTCTTTAAACTGATCAACAATCTAGATATTGTTTATATTAAACGTCGCGTTTGACTACGAACGAGGCCATTTATTGCTGTAACCACGTGTCACGTGCAACCAAAGAGGGGGTAAAAAAACATCTCTTATTCCCGTCTTGTTGATATTAACGTCTATAGAATTACCGTTAAACAAATGGAGGAGATTTCTTTTATTGATATACTAACGATTTTTTCGAGGAGATCGTCTCGGTCATCGACCGCAGAAGGCCCCCCTTCTCCCTTTTTACCTAATTACGAGGTTTATTAGAAAGGTGATACTGTTCTAAAACAAAAGGGTTTTGGACCGTCACATGAACTTTAGAATTCAAAACTGCCTAGGCTTTGATGATAAGTTTCGTACAGTAAAAAATAGTGAAGATTATCTCTGAACTATATATTGTTAGTGCTTTGAGAATCTCTCTACTTGCTACGGTTTCTGCCGCGCAAAAATAATGTTTTCATTGGTCAAACGTCACTTCAGTCTGATTAAATTAGGAACTACGCGATAGAAAAACTTTCAGCTGATGTTAATGGCACTGGATAAGGTACGAATGTCTATAGTCCCATAGAAAGAAACACGTCCATAATGAGAATAACATAATGAAATTTTCTGCCCTCGAGATAGACCTTCAGAAATTCCAAATAGAGTTAAGCATTAAACGGATTTTATTATTATTTCATACGAAATTGATCGAATTCCGATTCCTCATTAATTCTTTACACTTTAAGCTCATTAACTCCATTGGACTTTTAATCTGTAGCTTTGTCAATGTTATCAATGTATTTGCCTATTAATTGCTCTTACGTGAAATCTGCCAAAGTCTATAACGTTTTGAATTTTTCTTTTATTTTTGTATGTTTTTTCCGTTTATATCAGATATTTATTTATTTAACTGAATGTCTTACTTTAATTGTGAAGAACTATAAGAAGTAAAATTTAGAAAGACGAGGATCTCTAACATTTATTCTTGATATAAGCATAAAGAAGCTTAAATTAGAAGTTGGAAAATGTTTTTTCTAAGCGCATTTTGAACTTATGTAAGTTTTGGAAATTAAAACAGAATAATCGTTTTTGAATTTAGAACAGTTTTCGTCGTGCCTAAAGATGAAATCGCAGTCGAAGTGTGGCAATGCAGTTACGGAAGCAGGAGAAGAATGCGATTGCGGTCCAATAGAGTCTTGCAAAAAATTGGATCCTTGCTGCAACCCTCCCGGTACTGTTAACGAATGCACCCTCAGAGTACAATCGCCCATGTTTTGCAGCCCTAAAGAGGGACCTTGCTGCGACAAAAATTGTCGAATCGTTTCAAAGGCAGAAGGTCGAGAATGTTCCGTAAATCTTATTTGCAGAGAGAAAAACGGAATCTGTGATGGAATTTCTCCATTTTGTCCTGAAGTTCTTTTACCAGATGGCACTCCGTGTCTAGAATTTTCTCATTGTCGTTTAGGATTCTGTATCGATGACATTTGCGAAGACAATGACTTGGAGTCTTGCGAATGTTCTAGCCTCAACGAATGTCACGTGTGTTGTTTGGATGACAGCGAAAGATGCCTACCTTCTTCAGAATTTAACTTATCTCTACCCACTGAATTATTCACAAAAATTCCTGGAACCAAATGTGGCAACAATACAGGGAAATGTCTAAAGTAAGACAATAAATTTGTTAATAGCTGAATTTAGGTCAGGCATGATCAACCTTTCTCTAATAAATACTATATGACTGTTTTAATATGAGATCGGGCTGAAAAACTAAAAACATCTAGATTTATGTAAATTCTTTATAAAATGTAGTTATTGGTATATCTAAAATTGTAATGTATGTAAAATTATATTTAAAATTGCATACTAAATGTTTAAGAAATATCAGTACCTAATCGTGAAATTTATCGCCTACAGCCTTATGTCTGCTTACTGGACATATGGACTTGTACTGTACATTACGACGTAAATTTGTTTAGGATTATGCAAGCCATAGAAAAAGTTATGAAGGGCTGCAAGTAGCCCCATGGTTGCAGGTTGCTCATGCCTGATTTCATTTTATCAATTTCGCAAATTCATTTATGACGTAATTGTTTATTCTACTTACTTTCTAATTAGGGACGGAATTTGTAGCTTAGCGGTTAAGAAGAAATTACGCAGGACTTGGTGGTCTACTAATTGGCCAATTTTGGCAGGCGTTTCTTTTACTTTATTCTTTGCTACTTTTCTGTATGTATATTATAAAGAAAATCTTGCAACTGTCTGGAACTTCTGCCATGTGTCTGAACGTCAGACATAATCACATATTTAAAGCAATCACAAAAATTTGTAAAAACGATTAATTATATAATAAATATCTCTGTTCAAAATTTTTCTACGTTAGAATATATTACAGTACACTACAGTACATTATAAGTACTCCTCGCAGGTTCTTGGAATGTCTTGGAGCATAGAAAATTTACATCGGGTGTTTTCGTTGCTAGATCGGTTTATGGTTTTTTTTTTTGTTTTGCTAAAATACGATTTAATAACATCGTGTATGTTTATTTTCATTTATCTTTGTTTTTATCAATACAGAATCTGTATTGATATTTATAGAATATAATAATCAAAATCACTTGTATGAGCGTGTTTTCAGTCTAAATTCGGTTAAGCTTAGTTCACACTGAGTGTGATTCACTGGCGAAAACGAAAAACAGAGGGAATAATACATCAGATATGACGTCGTTTCCGGCGAATTTTACCATTTCGCGAATCGTTCCGAAGTTCGGAACTGTCGAGGTTTTCCGCTAGCGAAAAAATTTCTCACTAATCGTATTCCCGCTAATTGTCACGTGGTTCTTGTTGTTTTGAAGATGGCTACAGAAACTTTCTCACGCAATAGAGTACATGTTGTAATTATGGATTTTTAATATTTCTCTCACCCAGCATCGTTTTCTTTTTGACTTATTTTTTTTTCTCAATAAATAAACAAATGTGGTTAACAACATAATATCCGAAGCGGCCATTTTGTTTTAGAGACGTTTTCGCTTGCTTGCAAATGATTGGCTGCTTAAAATTCGCAATCGCTTTTCGCTTTTGATTGTAGGGTTAATTTCGCTAAGCGAATAAAAATCACTTTTTGCATTTGCTTTCGCTATTCGCTCAGTGTGAACTAAGCTTTAGTTTAAGTTAGTCCTAGTTGTAAGTTAGATTAGGGACTTTTTCCGAGTAGGTTTCCGGATAGGTTAAACTAGATTAGGGTTTGTTAGCTTTAGTCGTCTGGTTAGATTCGTTTTAGGTTATGGTGGGTTAGTTTATTTAGTTAGCAAGTTAATGTTAAAAAAAAACAAAAAAAAAATATTGGTGTCTTGCTTGTTTGTCTTTTGTCCGCCCGTTCATCTCGTCTAGTTTGTCGTTGTGTTAGTTTGTTTTTCGTGCTGTATGTCTAGCTATTAAGTAATATTAAGATTCGCGTTCGCGTTTAGTTTTATTAGTATTAAGTAGATATAAGTGTTCCTACTAACATCAACACTTAGCTATTCGTGGCGGCACTCAATCAATGGTGTTCGCTACACTCAGGTTTTCTTTTAGATCCTTCGGGGACTAAGGCCATGCAGCCTAAAAACGCCAACATCAAACATAGCCTGATACTCTAGCCATACGTATGCCGTTCAGAAGCATCCTACCTTTCTCTACTGTCTATCTCCTCTCCCTCCATCTTTCCCTTCCCTTTCCCTTATCCTCTTTTCTGCCGGCTAAACATTTCGTGTGCGGCCGAAATCTTTCTTGTATGTATGTATGTAGCGTGTTGCGCCAAGCTCAAAATTGTTCTAAGTCAAAATTGTGCTAGAAATTCGAGCTAATTTCATATGAGTTTTCAAGTTTATATTATAAAAAACCAATGAGCAATTTAAGTTACTTACCCATATTGTTTACAAGTAACGATTGCTACAATGAACAATTAATCATGCTTTGCTCGTTTTAAGCGCCTTTTTTTAATTCAGACAATTAGCGAAAGCTATCAACTTCTTTTTATAACTAAACGACACAATTGAGTATTAAATTTTTACTCTATAACTTGTATGCGATTCATCTTTCACTTACAACTCATACACTCGATACTGTCTATTTCTTTATATAATTATAAAATAGTACAAAATCAAGAATTTTGCAGACAGTTTTAAAATCTGGACAGCATATTAAAAAGCAGGACTGTCCTGTCTAATTCGGGACTTGTAATTACTGAACCTGATCACCTTCCCTCTTAGTCTAAAGCCGTGGTCACACCATGCGATTGTCTGCGCGAAGCGCGCAGGTAACTGAAACCGCGTTTGATGTTGGCAACGGCTGTTCTCATTAACTAGTAAACTCTAATAATGCAATGAATATTCGGTTACTATTCGGTATTCGGCCTATGTTTCGCTATTCGGCCAAATACCGAATACCTAAAAACAGGAGTAAGAAATAAAAACTCAGTAAATTAATCATTTTGGTAACTTTTATTAACGTTGAACATACATATCAAGTTCGAGAAAGCGCAATTTTTTGCTTATTTATGTAAAAGATTAAAGGACGCTAAGTGACTTTTATTACAAGCATTTAGCTATCCGAAGTCTATGAGAACAATTATTTGGCATTGACGGACGCGAATACGGACGCAATAAGCTGCCTCGACTTGTTCGATTATGTTATCAACTCAATTTCATATTTATTTTCACATTTTCATTTCGCGGATCTTCTCTGTTTTTTTCCCGTTATTTACACTTGTAGGTCATTTCATTGTTATCCACATTTGATATCATCACTTATCACATACTGCCATGGCAATTCAAGAGCAGAGTTGGAGTGCCATGGTAATAACATCTTGGATAAAATTCTAAATTGGGGCAAAGACAACAAACTTACCTTTAATGCCACGAAGACTAGCTGCATCATTTTCAATAAACCTAGGCATCAACATCTATACCGCAGAGTACCTACCATCAAGATGGATGGCCATACTATACGCAGCGTTAAAACTCTTAGGTATTTGGGGGTTATTCTCGACCACAGGCTGCTGTGGAACGCCCATGNTATTTTGCATTTAATTATTTTGTATACATTTTACTTATCTCAATTCTGAAACTTGTACTTATGGCATCTATTAGTTTGACTTAGTTACTCATCTCCAACAGTTTGTATTTATGGTATTTGTCCTCTTACCAATTTTCCTTGTAATCTGTATTCATTGTCACGACTCACCCGGTTGTGTGTAAACGGTACCGGGAATGTACCTTTGGTATATTATCAATAAAAATATCTGTATCTGTATCTGTATCTGCCATGACGCTCATGTCTGTCCGTTACAACTGTCAAGAATTAACGCGGGCCAATAGAGAGCAGGGTGCGCGATCCTGCATTTTAAAAAATTTTAAAATTCGTAAGTTTCTAGAACATTTTGAGGTTGTGCCAAATATTCTGTTCGAATCAATGCTTATTCTAGGATGCAAAAAGGACAATTGCCTGACTTTCCATCAACAGGAGGACCAAAGAATATAAGAATTTTATAAGAAAATATTTCCCCAAAACGTTCCCTGAAGAAAAATGTCTGAAGTCAACACTATACATGGGGCCCCTGAATTCAAATTCGCCTGGGCCCCATGTAGCGAAAACGCGCTACAGAATATGTATGACTGATGAAAGAGCCTTAATAAAACAGAAGAAAATACTCTACTACAAAAATATAAGATGTTTTTGTTATAGATTAAGTTACTCTGATACACGTCTACGATGACATGTAATTTTGTCGAGAGACAAATAATATATCATATTTCATTATATATTTATATAATGAAATTGAGAGTAACATTAAAACGCCGTCTCCGATTTCCATTGTACGCTACAGAACGATTCGAATTTCAATTTATTACTTCGATTTTTACTTACAAAACAATTTTTTTTGAGTCAGTGATAATATATTGTTAACATACTGACTTTCAGAAAATTTATTTTTCTCGCTATCCAGTACAAGAAATAATCTTTGTAGATAAATATGCTTTTCTCTCATATGTTTTAGTGAACAAAGTGTATACAAAAATTCATTGCACGAAGACTTTACACACAAATGAATAAATAATGAACGATGTAAACATTAAGAAGTATGACTTTTTATAGTTGTTTAAGATTATACAAGTTATTTTTTTCGTAAAAAAGTTTTATAATACATTTAGAAATTTAAAAATCTCCATTATGAAACTAGATACGAAGAACTTTAATGCACTTAAAATATTTTAGTGATTAATTCGGTTTGCTGATTAACATGAAGTACTAAATTTTCTATAGGAAGTTGGTAGAAGAGTGGAAGAGAAAGCAAAATAAATTTCTACTATATTGTGTGTCAATTTCTAATTTATTGCTTATGAAAGAAATGTTATTAAAACTTTTACAAGATAAACAAAAGGTGTTTACTTACAAAATGTACGATCTTTATCTTAAAAGATGCCATTTTGTTTACATACGTAGCATCAGATTTTGTTAAGAAGAAACGCATTAAACACCTTTTGAATAAAAATGAAACTTGTTAAATTATTTTAAAATTTATTTAGTTTATGAAACATAAGCCGGAACCATTATAAAAATCTTAAAATTTAAATACAGTACGAAACCAAATATCCAGAAAGCTTGAGGCCGGAAGTAGTTCGGATTTTTGAATTTTCTGGTTTTCTGGACACAGACTAAGTATAACTTAAAATATAAAATAAACAATAAAAAATGAAGGACCATACCGTATTTAACATACCGCATGCCAGCAGTCACACTGGAACTGACGTCTTGCAATGCATATGTCAAGGAAACCAAAACAAAGCAGCCATGCCGCGAAATACAGCTGTATTATATCCCGCCAAATTCAAAATAGTTGGCTTAAAAAGTAGCCGATTTTCTGATAATTCCGGATTACTGTAGGAAGAATTACGTTCCATAATTCTTAAATATATTAAATTAAGGATTAATGCCATTTCAAATATATATATTTACGCATTTATTCTTAAAGGTATTTTTAAAATTATAAAGTTTTTTCGTTATATTACAGAAAAAAGTAATTGTTATCGATTTAGTTTTGACATTATTAATTAAAAGTTGTTTAATAGACAATTACTGATATCTGAGGTTGTACATAATTTGAGCATATTGTTTTAACGTAACATTAATCCTATAAAGGCTATATAACTTAAATTCATTTTATATTAAGAAAAAGTTTATATAAAAAAATTATTAATTGATCTAATTTTTCAAGCTTATGAATAGCAGATTTTGCTTTTAGCTGTAAGTAATACTTAGTTTTTGGAGTAAGAAATATAAAAATAAATAAGCATTTAATAAATGAATAAAATTAATTAGAGTTAATTGCAG